GGCCAAGGATCCTTGACTCCTCATTCTGTCATAGCCCACACCTAAAGCACGGGCAATTCCTCTGTTCTACCTTAAGAATAAATCCAGAATCCCACTCCTTACCACTTCCAGTGCTACTACCCTTGCCCACACCATCATTTCTCCCCTGGCTTTCCTAATTGGTTTCTATTCTTCCACTCTTGTCTTCCTAAATTATTCTGAGCAGCCAGGGTTATTCAGTCCAGTAATGACACTCCAAGTGATTTTTACCTCACTCAGAGTAAAAGCCAACATCCTTTCCATGGTCTCCAGAGCCTATGAGCTGACCCCACCACCTGCCTGTCAGCTCTTCAGCAGTGTCCTGCTCTGAGTCTGCTGTAGCTATTCTGGCTTCTTGGTGATCCCCCAGACATGCCAAGCACTATCCTACCTCATGAGCTTTGTAATTGCTGTTCCCTCTGCTCAGAATGCTCTTCTCCATGGTTAGCACTGTCACTGCCTTCAGATATCTTTGTTCAAATGTCATCAGCTCAGTGATTCTTCCCATGACCTCCCCAGACTGAATCCCCTTACTCAACACACCTTGTCTCCTTTTATCCATAGCACTTGTTACCCCAGGAGTAGGTGGTGGGTGGAAAAAGACAATAAAAAATAGGCATAAAATATGTAATATGTAAATTCTATGAGGGTAGAAGCTTTTGGAAGTTTTATTAGCTCTTTTATTCTCAGTACCAAGAACTGTGCCTACGTAGTCCTGGAACGTAGTAGATGCTCACTAAATATTTGTAGATCAGTCCAAACCTGAAGGAATGCTGTTGTGAGCCAAGGGCAGGTTCCATTTTTTAATTCCTCTAAAGAAATACAGTGTCTCATACAAATTCAGGAAATTCCACCTCAGGCAAATTTTCTCACATATCTTTTGTAATTCTCTTTATTATTCTAACTCTGGCCCAAATGTCTCAGAAAAAAAGTATAAAATATATTAAAATACAGAATATGTAGAATACTTTTAAACATTTTAAAATATTTTTTAAATGTATGACTCTAGTGGTTTCACCGTCTACTGGCTTTCTTCATGAAACATTTCTGGCTTACTCTAGTTCAAAATTATTTCTTCTTTAAATTCTTATAACCATGCATTTCTCACAAGTCGCCTAATATTGTTATTGATGCACACTTTTATCACTCCACTATGGTGATTCTCAGAGGTTTTCCTTCCCCAGGTTTGGAATATTTTAAATATTATATCAGTCTCTGACATTTAGCAATGTCTGGAGACATTTTCGTTTTCACGACTGTGGGAGGCTGGGAGATAGAGTATACCAGTGGTATCTAGTGGGTAGAGGCCAAAGAGCAGCCCCCCACAACAAAAAGTTATCTGGTTCAAATATTATTGTGCTGAGGTTGAGACATCCTGCTTTAGACCCTCTCACCACTTTTGGGAAGGAAGAGCCTCATAGTTGACATGTAATGGAGTAGAATTCCTCAGGGGTGTTGGGTTTTTAAAAAAGGAATCAGAATCTTTCCTGTACCATATTGCGATTTTTTAAAGAAGTTTAACTATGTGTTATCCATCTTTCTGTTCCCCCAACATACCACACACATACACATCTATGCATTCAAATTCTATACTCTAACATTGAACTTGAATATTTGTCATATGATTACTTGAATGAATATTCCTATAGACTCTAACAGTGAAAGCAGCTGTGCTCTTGAGAAGAGATAATTTTTCCGATGACAACCTCATGATGTTAGAGATGTCTGCCAAAACATCTGTTTTAGTCTTCTAGAGCCTCCATAAGAAAATAACACAGATTAGGTGGCTTAAATAACAGAAATTTATTTTTTTACACTTTTGTAAGCTGAGAAGTTCAAATCAAGGTAATGTCAGAGTTGGTTTCTGGTGAGACCTCCTTTCTTAGCTTGTGTACAGCCACCTTCTTGCTGTGTCCTCAATGGGCTTTCCTCTGTACACGTAGAGAAAGAGAAAGAGTCACTTGTGTCTCTTCCTCTTCTTATTAGGACACCAGTCCCATTGGATTAGGACCCCATCCTTGTGACCTCATTTAACCTAATTACCTCCTTAAATGTCCTATCTCCAAATATAGTCACAAAGGAAGTTAGGGCTTCACTATTACAAATTTGGGGGGAACATCCAATCCATAACAGTTCCCTTAAATTATTTTGAAGTTATTATCTTTGAAGTGATAATGTACCCTATCTATGCTTTTTACTATTTGTATGTTATTTGTTCATAATCCTTATCAGCCATTGCTTTTCAAGACTGAAGACTGCAAATCTCTTTGTCTTTTCAAGTGCCATTCCCCTTTTGATCATTTTAGCTGTCGAATTATGGCTTTTTTTTTTTTTTAAGTATCTCTGACAGTATCACACTAGTGTATATCCTAATTTCGTACCAGAATAGGACTGTTTGTTTTGTTTCTAGTGAGCTCCCTGTGATAGCCTATATTTTATGACAATTGGCTGCCTGGAGTAGTCCTTCAGAAATTACTATTTTCATTCTCTTACTTTCAATGATTACTCAAAATAGATTTCCTCTAGATCACACACATACATAGGGCTGTATGTTTATCTAAGTGTAGTAGAATGAAGAATGTGTTCCTCCCCCAACTAGGGACAGTCACATCCTAATCTCCAGCGCCTGTGAGTATTTGCCCTTACATGATAAAACGGACTTTGCCAATGTGATTAAATTAAGAGTCTTAAAATGGGGAAATTATCCTAGATTATTTGGGTGGGCCAATGTATTCACAAAGGTCCTTATAAAAGAGAATTAGGAAGATCAGAACCAATAGTAGGAGATGCAATGATGGAAGCAAGAGAGTAAAGTGATGTGAAGAAGGGGCCATGAGTCAAGGAATGAATGTGGCCTCTAAAAGCTGAAAAAAAGGTAAGGAAGTGGCTTCTCCTCTAAAGCCTTCAAAAAGAATGCAGTCCTGCCAACATCTTTATTTTGACTTGATCTCCAGAACTTGTGTTGTTTAAGGCACTAAGTTTGTTGTAAATTGATTTGTGATATGTTTGTTTTATTAGCAACAGGAAACTAATACACCAATGAAGACCTAGAAAGTCCTAAGATCTTATCTTTGTCTGACCTAGAAACTTTGTGCAAGTAGGAAGTGAAGGCTAAGGTAGAGTTGTAAACCGCTTACCCAGGTGTCAAAGGCATGCTCCAGAGTGCACATAGAGCCCCTCAGCAAAGACTAGAAGACTTACTGGTTCAAGATATCTAAGAGAATCTCTGACCAACCAATTATTATCTAACAACTAAGCAGAGAATTCAGTGCCACTCAAAGAAAATAGACTTTGCCAGATTAGTTCAGGATAATGACTAAACGAACAGCAACAACAAGAAGCCTTGGAGGGAAAGAATCGCATTTTCAGAGTTGCCACATTATATTACGTAAATTACTCAGTTTTAACAACAACAACAAAAAATAGATATAAAAAGAAATTAAGAAAATGCAGTCCACACACAGGAGAAATTTTTTTAAAGGTAGTAAAAAGAAACTGCCTCTAAGGAAGACTAGGTGTTGGGCATAATAGGCAAAGACTTTAAATCAGCTGTTTTAAATATATTCAAAAACTAAAGGAAACCATTTCTACAGACTAAAATAAAGTGTGAGAGTGATGTTTCACCAAATAGAAAATATCTATAAAGATAAAAATTTTAACAAAATTAAATAGAAATTCTGGAGTTAAAAAGTACAGTAATTCAAATGAAAAATTCTCTAGAGTGACTCAGCTCTAAATTCGAGCTGGCAGATGAAAGAAGCAATAAACTTGAACATAGATCAGTTTAGATTATCCAGACTGAAGAACAGAAGGAAAAAAAGAATGAAGAAAAATGAACAGAGCCTCAGAGACCTGTGAGACACCATCAATCATCATGTACAATAGCATCTCAGAAGGAGAAGAGAGCAGAGGGGAAGAGGAAGACTATTGAAGAAATAATGGCTGAAAATTTGATGGAAAATGTTAACGTATATTCTGTTGGAACTCAATAAACTCCAAGTAGAATAAACTCAGAGAGATCTATACCTAGACTCATCATAATCAAACTGTAGAGAGACAAAAACAAAAAATCTTGAAACCATCAGCAGAGATGCAGTCAACATATAACAGGTGATTTCTCCTCAGAAACCTTGGACTCCAGAAGGCAGTGGGATGATGTCAAAATGCTGAAAGAAAGGAACTGTCAACCAAGAATTCTATGTCCAGCAAATTATTCTCTAAAAATGATGGCGACTACATCAAACTCAAGCTGCTGCACAGCAAAGGAACCCATTAATAAAATGAAAAGGCAACCTACTGAATGGGAGAAAATATTTGCAAATCATATATCTGATAAGAGGTTAATACCAAAAATATATAAAGAACTTGTACAACTCAATAGCAAAAAAAAAAAACAACAACAACAAAAAACCCAATATGATTAAAAAATGGGCAGAGGAACCAAATAGACATTTTTTCAGAGAAGGCATACAGATGGCCAACAGGTACATGAAAAGTTGCATAACATCAATAATCAAGGGAAATGGAAATCTAAACCACATTGAGATATTACTTCATACCTGTTAGAATGGCTATTGTCAAAGAGACAATAAGTAACAAGTGTTGGTGAGGATGTAGAGAAAAGGGAACCCTTGTGCACTGTTGGGAATATAAATTTGTACAGTCACTATGGAAAATAGTATGGAGGTGCTTCAAAAAATTAAAAGAACTACCATATGATTCAGCAATTCCACTTACGGGTATTTATCTGAAGAAAACAAAAACACTAACTTGGAAGATATACGCACTCTCACATTCACTGTAGCATTATTTACAATAGCCAAGGTATGGAAGCAACCTAGGTGTCCATTGATGGATGAATGGATAAGAATCTCCATTATTGGCATTTTTTATCTCTGAAAAAAATTCCACATTTATCTCTTACCATTTTTATTATTGAGGATAAATTTATTTTTGTGTGTGTGTTTTTTTTTATGCAGAATGATGGCTGTTTTGGTACTTCAGGTGGAATTCGTTCTTTTCAGCTCCAAAACTGGAAGCAGAAAGTTAGTCGGACTAAGAAAGCAGAATTTATACGCACAGCAGAAAAATTTAAAAATCAGTAAGTATTAGAACATTATCTTTAAATAACATTATTAGCCATTTTATTCTGAACAGTGTAAAGTTAATTCCATATCATCCTATTTCTACAGTAAGTTATAAAATTTTAGTCACTAGCCTTTCAAATATTAAATAAAGATGGGGAAGTATGAGATAGGCAAATGGTAATAGACTATTTAATATAATTTTAAGTAGAGTTATTTAAATTTTATTTATTTACTTTGACCATTTTGTCACAGTATACTTCAAAGGAAACTTCTTTAGATCTCATATATCAAATAATAGACTCAATACATTTTCACTTATCAAGGTAAGCACTTGGTAAATATATTTGAGTGAGTGATTAATGAACAGTCTGTACTCTTGAGTTATTTTTTTCAAAGTGGTCTTTTAATTGGTCTATCTCCCATAGTCTCTGCCCCTTTCAGATCCATCCTGCATACTATGACTAGATTAATTGAGAACTTTTAATTTGTAGTGTGTATGTATTTTTTCTTTAAATAACCAGTGGTCTTTATCAAATGTTCAAAGTTGTCAACAGCACGATGATATGATAAATATCGTGAGGAATGATAAAAGAAACTCAGAGCAGCCAACCTTACTCTATAGTTGAGAGCTTTATCAAAACACTGCCTTGAATTTATACTGTATCAATTTGCTGAAGAACCAAGAGAAATGGAGCCTTTTGTAAGAAATAGTCTCGACCAGAATTAGTGGCAGTTGTTTAGAAATTCTACCAGTAAAAAAGTATACTGTTTGAATTTCAAAGTTATACCATACTGTAGCTTTGGGAGATTGAAATCTCACTGCATTCATATATTTTTAATCCTTAGAATTTGAGAAAACAGTTTTTTCCCTTTGATTTTCAAAATGCATTACCTTAGATAAGAATTGGACTCTAGGTTAGGGTTTTGAGTTTATGTTTCTCTCTAGATAAAGTAATCCACAAGCAGTTAATGTCTGTATACATAGCAAACCAGTATATTATGCCAGTATAGATACCTTTTCTACCAGTATGTGTTAGTTTAGCAGCTCTTATCAGGCTTTCTGCATCTGTTACAAGGTTTTGGAAAAACTCATTGAAAGAGTTTTAGAAAAATCCATTGGAGTGTTTCTATCCAACAATTCTCATTGAATACAAAAGGAAAAACCCACAATTTATATATAATTCTGTTTTCAGAATAAGTAATATATTCACATGATTCAAAAATCAATACATATTAAAGAGTACACAGAGGAAAGTCTCTGTTTCACCCGCAACCCCAGCCACCCACTTCCTCTCTTCTCAAGACAGCCACTATTTTTGATTTCCTATGTATCCTACCACAGATATTTTATAATCTGTGCTAATAAGGAAATAAAAATACATATTCAGATTTTCTCTCATATAAATGTACACACTGTTCTGGATCTTGTTTTATTGTTTTTATTTTTTTTTTAACTTAAGCATATATCTTAGATACCAAAGAATTATTGATCTTGTCAGGCATGATAATGACATAACTATAGTTATGTAAGTCAGATATCCATAATCTCTGGAGAGGCACACCAAACTATGTTGGAGTGAAATTACATAATGTAGTGAATTTAAATGTACACACTGTTCTGGATCTTGTTTTATTGTTTTTATTTTTTTTTTAACTTAAGCATATATCTTAGATACCAAAGAATTATTGATCTTGTCAGGCATGATAATGACATAACTATAGTTATGTAAGTCAGATATCCATAATCTCTGGAGAGGCACACCAAACTATGTTGGAGTGAAATTACATAATGTAGTGAATTTTTTAGAAATACATTCCCAGTTTATTCTCTTAGCAAAAGATAGAGGTGAAAGAACGTAAAAAAAAAAAAAAAGAGAGAGAGAAAAGAAAAGAAAGAAAGATGGATGAACCAAGAGAAGAAAAAGAGATAAAATTGTTGAGTCAGAGTGATATGAGGGTTATATCATTTGAGGGTATATGAGAGGAGTCAATTTGCCATTCTCTACTTTTGGGTATGATTAACATTTTCATATAAAATCTTATAAAAAGAGTGGATCTTGGAGAACTTTCCCTATCGGTACATAGAGTACAAACAGTGCTACAGTTAATTAGGATTAGGTCCGTATCATTTTGCATACGTGTGTGAATGTATCTTTAGGAAAAATTCCTAGAAATAAAAATGCTGTTAAAGGTATATGAATTTGCAAATGGGACAAATTGCCAGTCTGATAGGTGTACAGTGTTACCGTGGTGTAGTTTTAATTTCCACTTCTCTTATTGTGAGTGAGGTTGAGCATCTTTCCATGTATTTGGCAATTTGTTTCCATTATTACATTTTGAATGTCTTTATAAGTTAATGGATCTAATCCAGGAATGGTAAAACATAACTAACTTACTATCATAGCATATTCTTTATCTATGCTAGAAATTTCTATTTATTCAAAGTAGTTTTCCCCACTAACCACACCTAGGTGGGCTTCCTAGTCCTCAGCACAGGACTCTAGTAGCCACCCTCAATTCATTAGAGTTAACCTTCAGATTGAAATTTATTTGACATTTCTGTTCTATCCATTGCTTCCTCTCCCAAACACAAGTGCTAAGTGATGATCCCCTCAGCCTTTAGGGCAGCCAGGTAGGCCTGGAGCAGTCTCATCTGTTTTTCCCGGTATGCCTTATAAATAACAAATTTTTCTCTCTGTGTGCCAAAGTGAAAAGGATTGGGAATTCTGCCTTATACAGTTGCCTCTCAGGTTGTATGAAATTAAGTCACTGGCCAGAGACACTGCACCACTCCTTAAATCCAGGATTAGAGGAGAATTATTCATATTCTACATTCTGGGAGAGAGAAAACAACCAAAAAAGCCTCTTTCTTGATACTACAGTATTTGTTTTGCTCCAGGATTTAAACTAACATTAGATCTTCTTATTGGTAGATGGACTAAATCCAAAGAAGCTCTGAAGTAAATGTAGGCAATATCTCTTAAATGTACTAGAACTTCTGTCTTCATAGATTGTTTGCCTCTTAAATTTTTAGTTTAATTAATAACATTAATTGCATGTCCATAGTACATTTTTACTGTTAAAAATCCCTTATATGTATTATCTAATATAGTGTTAATCACGGCCCTGTTGGGTAGTAGAGAGCTGTTATTATTCACATTTTAGCATTGAGGAGGTTTATACTAGCAAAGGTTAAATATCTTGGTTCAGGTTACAAAGTTAACAGTATCTCCTATTGAAAGCAGCCATCAGCATGGTGGCCATTTTCAGACCACAATGAGATTGAGTTGGAATCAATAGCCAAAAGTTTATGTATTTTGAAAGCAAGTCTATGACTGCATTTTCTTAAATTAACATTTTATAATTTAAATAACAATTCAAATTTCTTGTGATTTTAATTGAACTTAGTGCTTTTCTAACTACTGTTTTGACTTCTTAGCCTTATTATCCAAGTAACTATATTTTGACTCCTTTGATGAATTAATCCAAAAATAAAGTAATGATTATTTTGAGTGTCTTCATATTTTAAACAATTAAAAATATTTTTAAGTCATATTTATATCATTTGTTTCTTTTCCTAAAGAGTTATTAACATGGAAAAAGATAAACACAGTCATTTCTACAACCAAAAAAGTGACTTCAGAATCGAGCATAGTATGCTGGAAGAATTGGAAAATAAATTGATTAACAGCAGGAAAACAGAAAGTAAGTTGAGTTCATGATGAACAAAAACTATTGAGTGATATAAAGTTGTAGTTTTGCCCTGTGCTTTGTGTTTGTGTATTGACTGTTACATTTTCTATCACATTACTTTCTAGTTAGTAATGAATATCTTTTAGGGATATGTATTTATTTTTTCAGGTCACTATTTAGTGATTCTAACTGGATTGTTTTCTATGTGTATTTCTTCCAATTTAATAGGAAAAAGAGGGTTTTGTTTTTTGGTTGACAACCCAGTTAATGTTATTAAAATTTTCTGTGCTGTCTGATCTTAGCTCATTACCCTGTTGTAGTTGACTGAGACCTGGACTAAGTAAACATCAACAAATTCAGAACCTATACTTTGGAGTAGTATGAAGTGATCAGGTTACATAATCTCTTAAACTTGAGGTTACTTTTCCATGATATGAAATCTACTATTTCCACCTCAGGAGAGCTGTCCAGTGCATCCCCTGAGATGCCATATAAGAAAGTGCCTTCCTGGGGAGAAGGGGGAAGTGTCTTATAGCTTGTACAGAAAATGTTTTACTGTTTGCTGTGACTATCAGCCATTGTTAATAGTGTACTAAATGTTGGCCTTAATAAAGAATTCTACAAGAATACCTTGTTTCATTGTAGAGTAGATTTTATATCTAGAAAAATTCTTACATTATAATAAAAAAAAACTACTAAGGATTGCTTAGAGAAAGACTGACTAGTGGTTATCAACCAACTAAGCTTTATAAAATACTGACTTATATAGAGGTTATACTTCTTATGGTAATCCCTCATAGCCAATTAAAAGAAATTCTTAGTAAGTTTTCTCTTTCAGAATATAAGATTCCACTATTTTAAAAAGTCATCTTTTGTTAGATAATGGCAAGAATCATTCTCCCTTTTCTGTTTGAATGATGACAGTAACTAATATAAAAACCAAATTTCAGACCTCCTCTTTGATTCATAGAGAAATGTAAACATAGTTTAATACATCTTAATTTCCCACAGTTCTTTTACAGTCTACTGGGAGGCTGATCTTTCTGTCTCTCGATCATGCCATTAAGTAGAGTGTCTACATTCTCTGCATTTTAAGTTACTTGATATTTTCTTTTTTAAGGCAACTTTATTTTTATCTTTTTATTTCTTTTGTTCTACACTTTTGACTCTCTTTATTCATACTGTACATTTTTCTTATGTAGGAGAGGATGGAATGCATTGTCTTGGTATAAGAATATAGAAGTTTTCCCTTCATATATTACAGCTCAGAAGTCATAAATAACCTTTTTCTTACCTCAAATATAACTCAATTGTAGCCTGCATTTGTGTAAAGTTGAACTTAAATGGTTTGCTTATACAGAGTGGCTGTTCCAAATGAATAAATTAAAAAATCACTTTCCCTATAGTGGTTTCGCTGTAGCTGATTAAACTGTGGCAAAAAGAAAACAACAAAAAACACTTTCCTAATTACTTAACTTTACTAGAGAAGTTTCTTGATCTAACGCTCCAACAGTGTTTCAGAACCTATAAAATACATTGGATAAATTTTCCGCTTTTCTGACACTCTTGAATTTTAATAAAAGAAAGAACAAGCCAAAGTCATGTATACATATTTTACATTTGTTTCGAATATTAACACTGGCTCTAGGCCTGTAGGTAAACTTTTTAATAAAATTTGTTTTTAAGGACTTTTGGATATAGCTATCTGGTGCTTCATGCTCATTTGTGAAAGAGTTGCAAGAAGAAAAGAATGAGGCATAAATAAAGTACCCAAAGATGATAAAATAATATTGCTATTAAATATATTATACAAATACATATGTGTGAATGTAAATATGTTAACCTAATAATTTAAATAAATGTTAAAGTAAGATTATTGCTTCAGAAAAAAAATTTGAAAGAATCCAGTCTTTCTGCTGCTGATATAGAACATCTGAAAATGTCTTTGAGACAATCCTGTTTTTCAGGCCTTCATTATGAGCCTAACATTTTCAGGCTGGTCCTTTGGAAGAGCATGGCATCCCATAGCATATGTACCACTAAATGGTACCTAAGGCACCTCTTCACCTAAGGCCATGACACTGACACCAGTAGGTATCACGGGGCCCCATCTTAGAGGATGTGTTTAGATGAAGTTAATTCTCATTAGAAGTCTGTCAATATTCATAGAATTAATATTGGCTAGACAGTTTTAATATTCCAACAAGAGTTAAGATCTATTTCAAATTCTGTTTCCACAAATTATAACAAATTAAGAAGAAAAGAAAAAACTGCTGAAGAACCAAACATGGTTAATCCTAAGCTACTAATCCATGTATTTAAAACTCAGTCTTCACAGAGTAAAAAGGAGAGACATTTTCTTGGCAGAGGTTATAGTGAGATTTAACCCATTGTGCTTTTAAATACTAGAGGAAATTGAGAGATGCTTTATTTAGAGCAGGTGTACTTAAAATGTTTGGGCAGTTTTGACACTTATAACTACCTTTTGTTCATTTTTAAATTGCTCTTGGCTATCTTTTACTAAGTGATGGTGATCAGTCTTAAGTGTAGATCCTGAACTGTAAATGCATTTGTCGTAGAATTATTTTAAAGTATGTACTTCTTCCTTACAGGAGCAAAAATCCAGCAACAATTGGCCAAAATACATAACAATGTGAAGAAACTTCAGTATCAGTTAAAAGATGTGAAGCCTACGCTTGACTGTAAGTACATTTAGATTTTATATTCTTTAATATAAGTATTTTCTGTTATTCATTAGAAAAATTTATATTTTTCTAATAAGAACTTTTATAAAATTTTTTATTTAGTATTAATGGAGCTAAGCACTACTTTATCAGACAAAGGTTGATAGAGATACATTGGAGAATTGTACTATCTGGTACTTATGTAGTTTTTTTAATCTTTAAAATGCTATCAAACCTGACAAATTATGAAGTAAATGTCATTTATAAGATGGAGAATCTGTGGTATGGAAAAATTCAGATTCAGCTAATGAAGAGGAAAAAAAGACTGATTTCCTGATTCTTAGCCTAATGCTTTTCCCGTCATTTGCTTTTCGAAATAATTGTCTTTCAGAAGCATTTTGAATACCTAAAGAAATGGTTAAATAGTATTTGTGGGGGGAAAAAAATTGTATCATTCATTCCTGAAGGATCAAAGCAGTATTGTGAAGTGCTCAAGATGTATGGACTTAAGAGTCAGACACATGTTGGGTCACATCTTTGATCTATCAGTTATGTGATAGCAAGTTACTTGATCTCTCTGAGCTTTTATTTCCTCAGTTCTAAAATATAGATAATCATAGCACCTAACTCATTGGGTTGTTGTGGGGACGAAGTGAGACAATGTGCATAAAGCATTTGTGCAGTGATTATAACATCGCAAGCACTAAAAAAATAGCATATGTGAATATTACAATTATTTATTAAATTAATTCATGAAACTATAAAAATACTAGAAGAGACATGGGTTAATATTTTTATAATTGTATTATAGTTTATAAGAATGACAAACCATAAAGAAAAAAGTGGGCAGGATTGACTACTTAAAAAAAAAACCCATAAGCAAAGTCAAAAGACAAATTAGGAAAACATTAGCAATATATATATTATTTAAAAAACTAATATCCATAATATATAAGAAGTGCCTACAAATTGGAACAACAAAGGCAACCTAATAGAAAAAAAGACGAAGATTATAAAGTGTACGTTATAGCAAAAGAAATACAAAACATAAGAGAAAAGTGCTTGGGCTTATTATCACAAAAAATGTCAATTAAATCAATCTTAAGTGTTTGCCTCTCATTTTGGACATGGCTAAAAGTACATAGGAAGGGGCACTCTCAAGAACTAATTTGGCAGAGCCTCTTTGAAAAACAATGCGATGGTGTCTAGCATACTGTAAAGTGGGCATACTTTTCATTTCAAGTTTTATCAATTATCCTGTAAAAATATTTCAGCATGCAAAACAGGATATGCAAATATGTTTACTACAGCACTGCATCTATTTAAAGGTTCATCAATTGGAGAATTACTTGAATGAATTAGAGTAGATTTAGATAATGAAATAATATGTAGCTATAAAAAGAATGAGGTAGCCATATATATATATTGATAAAGTTAACCACAACATTTGGTTAAATAAGAACTGCAAGTCATAAAACAGAATGTATAGTGTGAAACCTTTTTTTGTAAGCAATAATGATATTTAATGATATGTATGCATAGGAAAAAGAGTCCCTAATCAGAAAAAAAAATTGTAGTCATAAAAATTAGCTTTTAAAAGCACATTTTCCTTATCCTTTAGGCTAAGAAATGTTTTTAAATTAAGGGAACAGTCCCTTTTTCCCTTAATATTTTATTCTTCATCATACTGAATATAACATACATACATAACATAATTTTTTCTTTTTTTTTAGTTGTTGAAAAGCTCAGAGAAATGATGGAAGAAATTGAAAATGCAATTAACACTTTTAAGGAAGAGCAGAGGTTGATGTATGTTTTAAATTGATTTTCATATAAAATTATTGACCTTTATTTTTTAATAACTCCACTAAGTTGTTGTATACAAACCATTTTTTATGTATTTAATATTAGTCCTACGCAAAAGCAGTAAAACATCTCTCTTCTTTTGTTTTAACTTTTAGATTGCTTTTCATGTTTAAAGTGACTTTTCATTTATTTTTGCACAATGTAAAATCTCAAGTAAGAATTTGAAAGATTGTTTTATTCTCTGAGGAAACTCTTTTAAGACATAGATTTATAAATATTAATAAGTGGTGAAGATGACATGAAAAGAGCAGTAATTAAATTTGAGGAAAAAATAACAGATTAATATAGATTGGTTTGTATCTTATTCAAACTTTATTTTTGAAATTTTAGATATGAAGAGCTTACTAAAGAAGAGAAAACAACTAATAATGAGTTGAGTGCCATATCAAGAAAAATTGACACATGGGCTTTGGGTAATTCAGAAACAGAGAAAGCTTTTAGAGCAATGTCAAGCAAAGTACCTATAGACAAAGTAACTCCAAGTACTCTTCCAGAAGAAGTGGTAGATTTTGAAAAATTCCTTCAGCAAACAGGAGGGCGACAAGGGGGCTGGGATGATTATGATCACCAGAACTTTGTAAAGGTGAGAAACAAACATAAAGGGAAATCAACATTTATGGGAGAAGTTCTAGAACACCTTCCTGGAAGAACACAGGATGAAGTTCTACAGCATGAGAAATGGTATCAAAAATTTCTGGCCCTAGAAGAAAGAAAAAGAGAGGTAATAGTAATTAAAATAGCTGTTATTAGTTGTATATTTCTGTGTTCCAGGCACTATGCTAAACTCTTTTATGTATATTATTAACTTTACAACAACACCATGAGGTATATTGTTGTTTCCCACCCCACCCTCATCTTATAGAAGGTGAAACAGGCATTGAGAAGTTAAGTAAATTTAACTAATGAACTACAGTTGGACTTTCTCAAAGCCAACATTTCTACCCCAAGAAATAATACAGTGGGCCAGAAAATTTCTGATTGTGGGCAAAACCCTCTATATCCACCAGAAATGTGGAAAATCCAGATCTCATCAGGCTTTTGATAAAAGGCATTTACCACAAAGGCTACGTTGTATTTAGTAGAAAATAAGAGGCAGTAGAAAAAATTCTTTGCCATTTAAAAGTTTCGTTGAGATTTGGAACTTCAGCTCCATTGCTTATTTTAAAAGACTCACAATTTTGGCTACCCCAGAGAAAAGAGTAACTCTTAAGTGTAGCAAATATCTAAAAAGTTCCATTTTCACAAAGTATTTCCCTGGCTTTGGTTTAGATTAGGACTTCTCAACTTTGGTACAGTTGACTATTTGAGCTGGGCAATTCTTTGCTGTGAGGGCCGTCATGTGCATTGTAGGATGGTTAGCAGATTCCCTGGCCTCCACCCACTAGATGCTATAACACCTCCTTAGTTCTGATTATCAAAAATGTCTCCAGACATTGCCAAATGGCCCCTGGAGAGCAAAAGTCACCCATTGTTGAGAACCATGGGTTTAGATAGTAAGTCTGAGTCACTTTTTTGTAGACTTTGGCTATAGTAAACTTCATCTTGCTTGATTTAACAACAGAAGTATGACTTTTCAATGGATGACATACCTAAGGAGCATTAAATAAATATTGATACCATGTTTAGTCTAAATTTTTAGAGGAAATATTATTTCATCCCTCCAAAATAATTTAAATGTAGGAAGATTGAAATTTGAGATTTGAAGAAAATTTTTTGAAACGTAAGTCATTTTTAAAAACTCAAAATAACGAGCTTTTAGGAATGATTTGGGCTTTTTTCAAGAATACTGAAAACATGGGGTCCCTAAACCAGCAAAGAGGTCCATGGACCAGCAAAATTAGCATCATCTGGGAACTTGGTAGAATTTACCACGCCCCAACCTGAGAACTAATCCACACTCTGGGGATGAGGCCCAGTAATCTGTGTTTTAACAAGTCCTTTTGGTTATTCTATTGCAAGCTAAATTTTGAAAACTACCTCTCTAGTAAAGAACGGATACAGTGCCTCTTGTAATAAAGTTAAAGTACCTTAATTCTAGCTAACTCCTGTTCCCAACCACTGTTTCCTGATATTTGATGATGAATTGAATATAAGGTTGGTAAGGTATGAGGAGTTAGGAAAGTGGAGGTGCCATTTACTAAAGTGGGACATGTAGAGGAGAAGAAGGAAGTTTGGGGGGAAGCATAAGGAATGTAGTTTCAAATCTACTGAATTTAAGATGCTGAGTAGGAGATTTACCATTTTTCTTTCCTACTTCTGTTAATATGTTCTGTGTTATCCTAAATGAAGATACTTATTTTCATACATGCCCTGAAATTTATGTCCTGAGTATCCTTGCTTATCTTATTTTCACTTTCTGGAACCTCCATTCTTTCCTCCTCAATCCTAGCCTGTCAAAATCTGCCCAGGTCAGATGATGCTTCCTTCTTGCCCACTCAAACATAAGTAGTCCCTAGAATTTCACTACCACTTTGTTTATACCTTTATTATGAGGTGATATGGCACATCATAATATATTCTAGAATATATTCTAGATATACACACTAGAATATATTCTAGTATTTATACAATGCTACTCAAACTTGGACCATGGACTGGATGTTAGTTTGCAAACTATTACTGACTGGTCTTCAGTGAAGTAAAGTGATTGCACCAGAATCAGCTACCCAGTAAGCATGCTATTTAGTTCAGTTGACTTATTTTTCATAGAAAACGTTCTCATTGAAGGAGGCAGTGCATTGATTTACATTCTGGCATGAATCCTTCATCTGTGAACTAGCACATTGAGTAGCACTGTCAGTTGGCATTTGGTATTGTTTTAATAATCTGTGGTTCCTGTCACATTGCCTTGCATATTGTACATACACATAGGGATTTATTGAATGAATGAATCATACACCATGAGGAAAGATGAGAAAATAGTTTCCTGACTTGAGGGGAAAGTAATTCAGTGGATATATCCTTTATGACATGGAGAAGGCTGCTAGAGTTTTTAATTATCTTTACATACCCTATATAAAGCTATAGAGCTGTTTCGCTATTTTTTATTTTTTTATTTTTTTTACACTTAAGTAGCACTACATGCCAGGCACTGACTCATTTAATCTTTACAGAAACCTTGTTCCAGAGGTGTTACCTACCACTTTTACGGATGAGCAAAACGAAGACAGAACTTTAGTGACTTGTCCAAGGTCACATCTAGTAAATGGCATATGATTTGGTCCTAAATAGCCTGGCTTCAGAGCCCATGGTGTCAACCACCTCACTTTTAAGTCTTCTGATATTTGACCAGAAGAAGGTTACTCAGAAAGAGTTCTGAGCCTAGAAAGAAGATTTGGAAACAGATGTGACATGTGAGAGGAAAAGGATATTTCCATGAACAGAAACAAATGAGGCGCAGCCCTTGTGAAACCTGGAAATTAAGAGAGGACGAGGAAGGCCAAAAGAATAAATGATTATCTGGGGTTTTAAAAGGCATTAATTTTTTTAAAGGAGTAGAAAAAAATTGCAGTGGTTAAAAAATAAAAATAAAAAAACCCTTGAAAACCTAAACAACTAGCATCCTGCTATCAGTATTCTTTATAGGAAGATGGATTTGAGGTTGTATTTTGGTTATTAAAAATACTTTTCTCTTGCTGTTTTTTTAAAAATCAGTCTATTCAGAATTGGAAAACTAAAAAGCAGCAAAAAAAGGAGGAAATTTTCAAGTTAAAGGAAAAGGCAGAGACCATATCTGTGCTTTTTAATAACAAACCAGAAGATAATCAAAAGCAAAAAGAACAAAGACAGAAGCAGAAATTGGCAGTTGAAGCTTGGAAAAAACAGAAAAGCATAGAAATGTCAATGAAATATGCTTCCCAGTTAAAAGAAGAGGAAGAGAAAGAGAAAAAGCAGCAGAAAGAGCGCCAACGCCAGTTTAAATTAAAATTATTACTAGAAAACTATACCCAGCAGAAGAAAGAACAAGAAGAATTTTTAAGACTTGAAAAGGAGATAAGGGAAAAAGCAGAAAAGGCAGAAAAAAGGAAGACTGCTGCTGATGAAATTTCTAGATTTCAAGAAAGAGTGAGTAAATATATTTTCAAATAATTTTTCAGTGCTACACATAGAGGTATTACTTCCAGTTCAGCAAAAGTTGAGTGCTGGTTATATCTGGGATTGTACCTACCAAATGAGCAAGCCAAAGATCTACAAGTAGGAAATTTCAGTATAAAGTGGTAAATAGTGTGGTGATTAAGGTGTGGGCAGAGAACTTTAGGAGGTGGATATGCAGAGAGGGAAGCTTACCAAAGTTATGAGTGTCAGAGAGAAGGTGATAGTTGAGTCCTGAAGGAGAAGGGGAAGCAAAGAGAAGACCCTAAGCAGAGGGAAGAGCATAAATGACAGCTTGGAGGAGTGCAACTGTGGTTTGTGGGGGAAGCTATAAACACGTCGGTATTCTTAGAGCATCAAATGGAAGATGGGAACCAGCAGGAGGCAAGGCTGGTAAGGTAGCCACACAGGCCAGGCCATGAATGTCTGTCTTCTCTGCCAAACTGGCTTTCTCCACAGGTGATTTGCTTACTTGTTCACTGTCCATCTCCCTACCATAGTATAAGCTCCATGAAGGCAGAAGTTTTGTCCTTTTGTTCATCTCTGTACGCTGTACATTGTAGATACTCAAAGGATACTTAAAGGAATCAAAGCTATTGCTGAGAGATAGGATTATAATTGATTTTAATTATATATACAAGAAAAATGCTAGTCAAAGAGATTGCCATATTATTATCCAATAAAGTGGAATTCAGTCCAAAGAGTATTTAAAAAGATAAGGAAGTGTACTTTTAAATGAAAAGGGTACAAACTGTTATGACTATAACTATTATGGAATGTTATATGCATCAAAATGCATAGCAATAATACTGATAAAGCAAAAAACAAGGGAAGTACAAAAAAATAGACAAACACATTAATAGTGGAATTTCTTTTAGGCTGTTTAAGAAAATTTCCCTAAATAACAAAATGCCTAATCTCTAAAAAAGTAAGCACACCACATAATAAAAGATGAAGAAAAAAGAAAACCTGTCAAACAAAAAAAGAGATTTAAAACTAGACATATCTGTATTGATAAGTGAAAATGGACTTAACTTACATATTAAAAAGGAGTTTTAGACTGAACCATAAAAGACACCTAAAAGAAAGTGATTCAAATGGGATGTGCATGTATTATGTTTATATTCAGAGAAAATAAATCTCTTTGTTAGAAAAGGTCAATACTGAAGGAGTATTGATATTTAAGGTAATTTAATTGTACTTCAAAGCAACTAAACTTTGAAACAAATGTAGTCGATTTTACTTTCTTAATGTAATCATTTTCTTTTTTTGGTCGGTATATGTTTTTTAGGATTTATATAAACTTGAATTGAAAATTCTTGATAGACAGTCAAAAGAGGATGAAAAGGCAGATAAACAAAGGAGACTGGCAAAATTAAAAGAAAAGGTACTCCGTACGGGGATTAACTATTTTTATTGTTATTCTAATTTCTTGATTTGTAAGAAAGCAAACATAAAATCTGTTTTCTTTATATCCAGCTTCATTTCTGTATCATCTCCTTCAATTTCATACCTATTTATTTGCATATTACATGCATAGCTTAGTAAAATTTAAGCAACTATTGTTTGATTTCTGCCATTTCACTTGATAAGCACCTCATTTTCTTACACCCTAAATTAATTCTCTCTTGCTACTCTGTTCTTTTCTTCATTCTTTCTATCTGAGCCTCTATTTTAGATTGATGGCAGCTATGAGCATTGCTTAATCTCAGTGGTGATCCTCATAGCTAAAGATGTTGGTGACTCTCGTGGATGAAACAAAGAATTTACTGGTGGTTATTTATCCTAAATTTATTGTCTGGCTATGCCACCAACATACTTTGCTGCATCACATTTCCCTCAGAATTGAAAAAAAAATAAGACAATAGAAATATAATAAAATATTTGAAGTAGAAAAATAAATTAACAATTTATTAATAGATTGATGCAGTCCAAATTTTATTTTAGCTATATGAGCACAATTAGAAGTTTGCTAAAGAGGTTATTAACAATTTTATTTTTTAGTTAACATTAAATATTTTTCTTAAAACTTCTGTTACTAAGGATCTTACAAGTACAAACTTAATAGTTCATTAAATTAACTGGCACTCATTTTAATTCTGATTACAGGTTGAAAACAATGTTAGCAGAGATCCCTCTAGGCTTTACAAACCTACCAAAGGTTGGGAAGAACGGACCAAAAAGATAGGGCCTTCAGGCTCTGGACCACTTTTACATATCCCACATAGGTAAAAAGGAGTTTGAATGGGTAATTTAATAACTGCATGTTTATGTATGTATATTTTACAGTAAAAAGTTGAGAAAGCAAATTTATACACATTTTCGAAGTTAACATTTAATCAGGTAGGCTTTTAAAAAAATCTCACATGTATTTATATTTGCTCTTCTCTTCTTTTCCTTAGGGCTATTCCAACCTGGAGACAAGGAGTTTAGAAAAGAATGTGAGATAATGAAATTAATATTCAGTTGATGAAAATGTTAGCATATTCAGTTATAACAGGACAGAGTGACTAATCACGTTCTTTAAATATCACTAGCCTAATCAGATTGAGTATTGTGTTGTATGTGAATTGACAGATGCTAAGTTCCATTTGGTATTGTCATTAGTATTTCCTGTTTATGCTGAGAAGGTATTTATTGTGTATGCTGGCCTATTGATGTAAAATTTTTTAGATAAGTTTATGTTACAAATAGTATTTCACTTAAATGCTCAGAATATTTAAAGATATTTTGTTTTTGTTATGGCATTGAAAAATAAATTGGGACAATCACAGAGTGACATTTTCAAACCAAAATTTTGTACATTTATATCTTGGAAGTAAATTAGCTTGAGTAACAAAAATGTAAAGCTTTTCTTTTTTGAGTTATAAGAAAAAGTTAGTACTTTTTTCAAAGCTTACCAAATTGGTAGTTTGTCAGTTACTACATTTTTGTGTAATGTTTTCTATTTGTTTGAAGCATGCTTTGTTTTATATAAAGAATATTTAATTTAAAAATTTGCCTCACACCTCATATATAACCTATTATTTGTACTATTGATATAAATTTTTCAGTTTCCTTTAGCTTTTCCAAATTTTCCTTCAGCCTTTCTGGACTTTACACATTTATAAAATCTTTGTGTCTTTCACATCTTTCTGGCTGGTGCAGTTTTCTTCTCTGCTTCTGTTTGCCTCAAAATATTTGGCTAAAGAGTTAATTTTAAAATTTCCAAACATTTGTACATGAAAACACAATGTAACAATTTAACAACTCAACTTTTCATATTATAAAATCTTAGTTCCTAACTTTAATTAGTTCTCATCTTATAGGAAAGTTACCATATACATATTAAATATAGGAAACTTGTTTCTTATGGCTTTTATCTTAGAGTATCTTTAATTATAACTTGATACATTTAAGTCACATGACTCAGAAATTTACTATGAGTAGTAGTCAAAACCTTTTCTTATTTGACAGTTATTATTCAGTGTAGATAACTTACAAAGGAAACTGAATTCTAATTACACAGTTATTGGTGCAAAATAGAAGTAACAATACATCCTTAATTAGGAATGCCCATTTTATTTGTAGTACTCGTTCTCTATAATTTTAAAAAATGATTTGAGGCAGTTTAGAAATAAAATATAGAACAGGGCAAGGGGATTTAAAAACAACTGAACAGCTATAAAATACAGGAAAGTAAGGGTCTCTTAAGTGTTGCTTACTAATATGTTGCTCTTTTTTGCACATAAATGCAGCTTTCAATTTCCTTTAAGGTAAGCAAACTGGGCAATGTGATTCTTATGGCATTTTTTGTTTTTTTGTTTTGTTTTGTTTTTTAATAAAAGAAAGTGTAGAAGTTTCTTTGAAGAAACCGGTTCTAACTGAATCTAAAATAAATGAGGAATTTATTATATGGACCCTTTATAATAAAGTATATAGATAAACAATATAAAGTGTCTTCAGTTACAAGCTCATGGAGAAGATGTCAAATAAAAATTTATTATACTGGTTTAAAAAGTATATTAATAAGAAATTTAGGAAGAAACACTAAAAAATGTTATAAAGTACCCATAATTCCACCACCCCAGGGTAACTTTTTTAAAAATATACCTACATATTTTAAAATAGCTGTAGTTAGAGAGTATATTTTAGTTACTATAATCACTTAACATTACACATTTTCCTGTCTTTCTATGTAATTCAAACATTATCATTTAGTAGCTGAATAATATTCAGATATGGGTGCTCTTTTATTACCACACTTTGAAGACTTGATCTAGTCTTCTTAACTAATAATGTAGAGTGCATTTTATGTGGGGTTAGAGTCTGTCATGAATATGTCAAAAACCTTGTATGATCAGAATCACTCATGAAAGCCTTTTACTTACCTAGAAATGTATTATTTCAATGAGTCCACCATAGAAATATTTCCTCCATATTTGGAACATACTGCTGGTTCTTGAGCTAAGAATCAGAAGAATATTTGGCTTCACTCTAAGGGCCAAGTTGAATAGTACTGTCTTTTTGAGCATATATAGAGTGCACATAGTTAATTCTAGTAAGTGTGTATGGTACTATACTTTGAACATCTTCAGACATTTGTGTGAGTGGGGTGGGGGGAGAGAGAATTTTAATTGTAATAAGTAAACTACTAGACTGTGTACTTGAAGGGCAAGGATTGTGGCCTCTTTACTTGTAAGGAAGCACTGGCCATTTGTTAATGTGGTATTTGTTAAAAGGCATGCAGGAAAACCTGTGAATAAGTAGTTACTAGTACCTAAAATTATGCAAGGCACTTTGGGTTGTTGAATATGTGTAAGATAACTCCAGCCCCAACAGTACATTTTTTAAGAAATACATTTTCTAAGTAAGCTGTTAATTAAAATTATACCCAAACTTCTGTTAGCTCATAATTATAAGGAACCTAGTTCAGGCCTGATCCTTGGGTGGATATTTTCCCCCCAAGACTTCATGAAGTTTTAAAGGGAACTGAATTCCCTTCTTTTGAAAAATAGCTAAAAGCATGTTATTTCATTTTTTAGTATATGGGTAGTTGGAGAATATGTTGAGCTTGTTTGCTGTTGCAGATTGATGCAACAGTGATGCAGCATGACACACTGACTCAAGCAAAGAGGGAAATGTTTTAGAATTGTTAAAGAAAATGATGCAAAGAGTCACATACATATGAATATATGTTGTGTGTATATTGCATTGAGATATATATTTAAAATTTCTGATATTCTAGAAGGGACTAGGAATGTCTCTGAACTTTTATAGTGTCAATAATTATTTAATAAACATTTGTTTATCTCAATGGCTTGATTTCTAGGTTTCGTTGCCTTATCCGTTCAGCTTTAAATTTTGGCCTTCCAAAAATGAGTCTGTTGGCAAATTTAAATTGGCTTATTCCTGTTTCCATATATACATCCTCAAGTTGTTTAGGGCCTCGATTTTCTCAAAGCGACCTTGAAGCTGTTGACCTTGCGCTTCCTCCCACGGACGACGATAAAAGTTCTGGAGAGATTTGTGGATTTGTAGGCTGAATTTTACAAGACTTGCAAGTTATTTGCAAACCTTTGATGCTTAAGATTAGAAAAAGTTGGGTCGTGCGCTACTTAGGGAGAAACAGGAGAGAGAAAATGTTGCTTAAATTTTTCCGTTGACTGTGCGCAGTAATTTAAGTCACCGACTGGGTCGGACTGTGGTGGGCGCACGCGCCCCCGCCCTACGGTTTCACTCTTCAGGGATTCTTTGCTTTGCTCGCCAATTGCTTCCGGGTCACAGCCGACGTTGCTTCCGCAGCAGCATGGCGGCCACTGAGGACGAGCGGCAGGCTGGGACCGGTGAGGGAGAACGGCTGGATTTCCTGCGGGACCGGCACGTGCGGTTCTTCCAGCGCTGCCTCCAGGTCTTGCCAGAGCGCTATTCTTCGCTCGAGACCAGCAGGTAACTTGTGGCCACAGTTAACAGGGCCGGCCTGGGCTCAGGGCCCCAGCGGAAAGGCGCCGCGGAGCCTGACGGCTAACTGGGCGCCCGCACGGGGCTGCGCCGCCGCCCACTTGGCACTGCCGGGTGCCTCCGCTTTCAAGGAGGCCTGTGGTCACACTCATTTCTCTGAACTACGGCGGGAGAGTGTGAGGGAGCTGTAAATCTAGGGCTTTTGGAATCTCCAGTGTCCGCCTTTTTCACTTCCAACCATTTTTCCTGTCAACTCTGAGCTACATTTTATTCCCTCTTCCAAAACCAGTGAGTCACTTGGCCTGATTACTTTCGAGTATAAAAGAGAAAAGACAAAGCATTTATCATCGAATTTTAGATACATAGCCTCTCCTGTGCTTTTTTTTTCCTAATTAACTTTTTTAAATTGAGGTAACATTGGTTAATGACATACAGATTCCAGGTGCACAATGTTATAAATTCAATATCTGTATACGCTGTTGCGTGCTTAACACCAAAAGTCTGTTTCCTTCCGTTACCGTATATATGACTCATTAACTCTTTTTTAAATAACTTTTTCATTTAGAGTTGACATACATTATATTAGTTTCAGGTGTAGACTCATTAACTCTTAATTGAATACCTGTGTGGTGTTTGCTGTGTAGGAGCGGGAGAGATCCTCTAGAGAAATTAACTTTCCAGGAACTGTAAATCTAATAATAGAAGATTGGCCAAAGAGGTGCTGTTCGTAAAGTAGCCTGTTAAAGTATATTTGCAATAACCTTGTAAACTAGAGTAGGCCGACGAGCGTGATCTGGCAGAGGCTAAGAAACTGAATTAGTCATTCAGAGTAAAAATCTGGGGATGAGAAGAACGAGAGGAAGAGGCGATCTTTGCTCTGCATTTGCTGTGTTTTGAATTGAGGCTCCAAAGCTGCGTCGGACTGGATGGAAAGAGAGAGCAGATTGGTTTTGCTCTGATCTCTCTCCGCATTTCTGAACTCTGAGTTTCCAGTGTATTTTGAACACTACATGACTGGGTTAGTTTTGGAAGCTTTAGATGACTTCTGCATACTTGTTCAAGAATTATTATAAGTGCTAGAGTACAGCTGAATAAGGCAAACAGTTGCATTAGAGTTTTATGCTATATTAGTGTAGGGTTTGTGGAAACGTGTAGAAAGGCAGGTACCTACCTAATCCAGATTTCTTTGGAGATGCCTTCCCTAATCACCCTTTCCAAAAGAGACCACCTCCAATCACCACCTGAAATTTTATATATATATATATAGGTTTATTTGCTTAATATCTTTTTTCACACTGGATTGTAAACTTTGTAAAGGCAGGATCTTTATCTTGTTTACATCTATAAGACTAGGATTGCCCTGCCCAATAAGGTAGTCGTTAGCCACATTTGGCTATTTAAATTTGAATTAATTAAAGTTAAATGAAATTATACCTGAAACTAAGGTAACATTGAATGTCAACTGTAATTGAAAATTAAAAAATTAAAATTAAATTAAAAATTTAGTTCTGTGTTTACAGAACTAATTTCAAATGTTCAGTCACCACATTGGCCAATGACTTTTATTTGTTTCAACATTTCCATCATCTCAAAGTCCTACTGGACAGTATTGCATTGGAGTCTTGAATAGTATCTGGCATATGAGAAGCATTAGTAAATATTTGTTAAATAATGTGAGCTAAACCTTGAGGGATGAACAGATTCTTGTTAAAGAGTGTAGCATTGTTTATATGCCTTTCTCCATCTGTAGGTATTGAATGACTAGCAGAGTCCAAGACTAGACCTAAATTAAGATTTCATGTATATAATGTAATTAACAATGTTACCTCAATGAATTTAATTTAAAAAAAAAAAAAGATTTCCAAAACTCAGTCTATGGCGCGTAATGATGTGGGATGTTAAAAAATGTGTTGATAAATTATGTATTTTATTGGAATTAATTTTAGATGAATTCAAAGCATTTGGATTAAAAAAATCTTCCTATTGTGATTTTTAAACAGTCGAACTTGTAATTGTTATAGGTCTGTGGTTGCATTTTCAAAATTCTGGTGTGTTTGATTGGTCTGTTTAACATTTCATCATGGACAAAACCAGGTAGACTTAATGCATGTTGGCAGTAAACTCTGGTATGGTCAAAAAAAGAATACTTTCCTCCCTCTTGGAGGCCAGACATTTGCCGCAAATGACTTGTGCTTCCAGCTGTGTGCTCTACTTTATAAACATAAGCTTTTCACTATAGCTGTGTTAATCCTATAAACCTTAGCCTCATCTGCTATGTGTTGAAGCCTTTAATAAGTATGCAGGATTTTAAGATGGCGTATCACCAGATGACTGATTTCCGGTATCAGCGTCTATATCCAGAAACAAGTAAAATGAAAAACATATCATTTAGAAAACACTAATAAACACATAACAATATGACTTTAGAGCAGAATTTCTCAACCTCAGCACTGTTGACATTTTGGACCAGGTACTTCTTTGTTTAATGGGGCTGAACTGTACATTGTAGGACATTTAGCAGCATCCCTGGCCTTTACTGACTAGATGCCAGTAGCACCCTCCCTTTGTTTGGACAATCAAATGTCTTCAGAATGTCCCCTGTGGGAGTAATATCGCCCCAGTGAAACCACAGTTCTAGAGTAGTGCCTCTAAAGCCTAGACTCACCTGGGAAGCTTTTGTTCTTTAAATACCAAGTTCCCAGACTCCACCTTCTGCCCAAAATTTCTGATTTCATTGTTGTGGAGTAGGGCCTAGGCCTTTCTAGGTTTTGTTGGTGATATTTTAGTTGATTGTTTTTAAACTGCTTCTAATGTACAGCCAGGTTTGAAAAACACCCCCGTGGAGAATACCACACTACCACTCAGAAATCTTGAGTATCATTAATTGGTATATAATTGGCATTGAAATCTCAAGCAAATTACTTGAATTCTTTTGACTTCATTATCTTGAGCTAGAAAATTAAAAAGATTGGATAATTTCTCGGGTTCTTAGTAAAGAATATCAATATCTTTTTAGAGCCCTTTGGTTATGTTTTTTTAGTATGTATTTTTTACTAACAGGAAGATCTTTGTTTTATCGAACTTCGACAGACTATTTTATCAGCAACCTCATTTTCTCCATTTTTATCTCTTCCTTCCTTTTGCTTTTTTCTATAATCTTTAATAAGCTAAATTATTAGATGCTTAATTTTATCTGATTATAATCATTTACTTTCTGGATTATAGCAAAACTGAAAATCCTGTGAGAGCTGTCCAGAAGAGTTAGATGTTGTATTGAAGGTCTTTTATTTGTTATAGTTAATTCATTAATTTGAGTGCATGCCACAAACAAGGCAGATTTTATTTCATGAGACATACTTATTACCAAGAGCAGTGATTTTCAAACTTGGCTGTTGTTAAATTGAAGTTTTTCCCAAGTTTAAAGTATTTTATTTTGGAGAAGAGCAGTTCCCAGCCCAGAACCTGGAGAAAAGGCCTGTGGTGCAAGACTGTGATTAGATCTTAAAATCTTTGTTACTCTTGTCCCTTCAAATCAGAGAAAATTCCAATAATAGTATCTTCCATTTATTGAGTCTCGTTTATGGGCAGGTAAACACAATAACTATGTGAAGTGTAACAGTGATTTACAGATGAGGACTTAGAACAGCTTTAGAAAAGGTTAGGTAATCTGCTCAGGTTACATATGGCTATAAATTGGCCAATCTAGGATTTGAACCTAATTCATTTGACTGCAGAGTCTGAGCTCTGAACTCTAGCTTCCCGCATAAAGGGGTTCTACTGCCCTTAATTTAATCCTGATCTTATCCAGATAAATCACCTCCCTGATTCAGGTGAATCTTAGTGGGCCGTTAGAATTAAATTGATATGTGGAAATTTCTAGTTCCATGTCTAATATGTAGTAATAGTTTCTCAATAATGTAAATTTCTCCAAATTTATTTTTCTCAAGTGTACCAAAATCTCATTAGTTTTAGTTTTCGCCCTCAAGCTTTGGTTGAGATTAAATAACTCTTTGTTTTCTTGTTATCTAATGGATGCCAGCCTTTTCTAGCCTGGGATCAGAGACAGTTGTATCCTTTAATTAAAAAAGAGAGAGAGTGCCCGTTTTCTCATTTCTCAAGTTGCTAATACCATTCTAGATGCATAGGAAAGAAATTAATATAGAGAATAGATGCCTTGGGGCATTAAGGCTTAATTCTCTTTTAGATCTCTATTAAAAAGGTTATAAAATGAGTCAAATGGCTCTTAAGATTTTAGACCAGATAATTTTGAAATATTAATTTATCCATATTAGACCTAGGAATTAGTAGGCTATGGAAATGAGATAACCATGCCCAAACAACACAGTAGAATGCATCTCAACATGAAAGGAATTATATATAACAAACTCCTTATATGAAAAGCAGTCACTAAGGTACTAGTTTTTATACGAAAGCACGAGGTCTTAGATTTCTGATTTAGTGTCCATTCTTGGAAGGAGGGGATGTTGTCATGTAGTTTTTTTCATTCCATCAAAGAACGATCCTCTCTGGGAGAATGAAGTTGAAATGCATTTGTATTTTCTAAAGTGCTCCTTATTTCTCAAAATTCATTATAAGTTTTTCAAAGGGCTCGTTATTTGTACACAAATATGAATAATGGTAAATTTATTCTAACATTCCTTAAGAATTAAGCACCAGCGATAAGCATAATTACTCTTGGCAAATTAGTGAGAATTGAGGTCTTTATTTTTTCAGGCTTTTGACCTTATATGTACTGAACAGGTGCAGGAAATTTTCTTTTTTAAATCTACTTTTAACCTTGCTGATATACAAGCTTCAGTAAATTCAGGTGAGTAGGATTGGTTTCTTAACTCCTAAATATCTCTTTTTTAAAAACTGAAAGGTTTAATTGATATTATTAAATGTAAAAACAAATTGGGTTTTTTTTTGGATTTTGCAAGATGGCAGTATTGTTTAAATCATTGTAAAATTAGAATAAGTTTATTATTTTTTTGAACCAGAAAGACTTCAGTGGTTTGAGAATAAAGGACTGATTTTTTTTTTTTTTTTTTTAGATTGACAATTGCATTTTTTGCGCTCTCTGGGCTGGATATGTTGGATTCCTTAGATGTGGTAAACAAAGATGATATAATAGAGTGGATTTACTCCCTGCAAGTCCTTCCCACAGAAGACAGTGAGTGAGTTTTAACATTTTATTTTTAGTGTGACTAGTCATGTTTGCTGTAGTATGCTGGACTATCTTAGTATTTATTCGTTAATTATTAATATATTTTATTCATCTCTGTTTTCTTGTAATGCAACATTCCCATTCTGTTCATCTATAACATTTAACAAGTCTAACCTTTAATCTCTTGCCAGAACAATTTAGAGTTGTCTGGGATTAAAGAGAGATTCAGTTTTAGCAGCATCCTGTGTTACGTACTTTCATGCTGGTGACTGCATATTGATTATTTGTATTTGATATTTATGCTTGATTAGTTTTATAGCATTCACTCTTTTTTTTCATTACCAGCCATTCTTTTGGTCTCTTCAGTGAAAAACTCACTGCCATCAAAAGGTTTCATTTCAATCTCCTGGTCACTTCCCTCTAATGTTTCATTAGCAGCTCTTTATTCTTAGAGCTCATACATTTCAGCCATTTTAATGCTTCTTAAAACTTTATAAATTTTGATCAATTAGATAAATTCTTAAAATTCAGAAATTACCTGATCAACTAAATATACACATTTTATAAACTGTCATTCACTCTGTTAAGTGTAAAATACCTAACATTGATTTAACTTACATTAGAAATTTTAACCTAGAAAAGATCAAGAAATAAGCTCCCAGAAAATCACATAATTTTAATCACTAGTCACCGCTTAACCTCTCTCGTAAGGGCCAGCATTAAATAAATTAACAGTGTTGTTCATTGGTTGAAGTAATCGTGCACAAATCTCACCCAGACGAACTTTGGGGAAATAAGTTAAAGCTTTATTTAGAAGAGGTCTGATCTGTTAGTAGATGCTGTCGGACCTAGTTTGTGGCTTTCTATTTTATTGTTCTTTAAGTTTCTAGTGGTTTTTTTTATATGATTTTTAAATCTGTGCCTGTTGACAAATTCTTGTTAAAAATGATTAAGCATTTTGAACAAGGTCTGTCAGAACTTAATACATAAATACTTAATTACTTTTCACTGGCTATATGAAGCAGCATGTATGATATAGTGGTCAGTAGTTACAGAGTCTAACATGCTTATGCATAAGATTTATTGAATGTTCCGCTGAGAGTACTCTGCTAAACCTGTGGAGAAGGGCTTTGACAAATTACAAGATAATGGTCCGCATTCTCTAGGAGATTGTGGCTGAGGTGAGATCAGGATTCTAGTCACCGAAAAATGAAAGTAATTTGTGTTTTCCCTTTGTACTAGAATTTTTTTTTTAACTAGTTAAAGTCTTGGGATTTTTTTTAAGTCGGATATTAGCCACATGTAAAGTAGTGTTACAGATTCTCACTTTTGTTTGTCTACTAAAAATTCATGTCCTGATCAAATTATACACTGTAGTTTCTTAAAGAAATATATCTCACACAGTATAGGTAAGAAATTATACTGTGGTACATAGAAAAGGTATTCCGTAAGTTTTTGCTAAAATATATTTTATATTAGAAAAATTTTATTGATATTTATTCCCCTGAAATAAAATAACCATTGTCTCTATAGAAGAGTATAGACTATAATATTTTAGTGAGAGAACTCATACTATAGGTTACACTTACCAGAACATTGATTGCTTATTCATCATGCTTCCTGCTTTTGTCTTTTCTTATATTTTCATCTACTTTTAAGGACTGTTTGCTGGCTCTGTGATTGAACTGTGTTTTTGTTTGCTTTTTAATATGTGTTTACTTCCCCCTACCATTTTACTAATGAAATAAGTTTTCTACAACACTTTAATACCCATATTCTTTTTAAAGGTTGCTTACTTTTCTCATTATTTGATCTGTTTTGAGAAATTTGCCTATTATTATCTGATCTTTCATATTATCCATAATAATTCTGTTTGGTACATACTCACTAGAATGACTAAAATGAAAAAGGTGGAGGAAAAAAACAAGTGTTGATGAGAATGTAGCGCAACTGCAACTTTTCATACAATGCTGACTGCTTTTTACAACTCCTATTTATAACTACTATTTGGCAGTATTTACAAAGCTGAACATATGTACCCAGCAGTTCTTTCTAGTACATACTTAACAGAAATAAAAACATGTGTTCACCAAAAGTTACTAGAAAATATAGACTGTTCATAGCAGTATTTTTCACAAGAGCCCAGAAGTAGGAACTATACAGACTACTCTTCGTTAGTATAATGGATAAATTATGTAGTAGAATATTCACATAATGCAGTACTATACAGTAATGGGAAAGAAAATTTACAACTTATGGGGAAGAAAAATTTACATGCAAAAATTTGGATGAATGTCACAAACGTGTTTTGAGAGGAAGAAGTGCATAGTGTATTACTCCATTTATATAAAGTACAAAATTGGCAAAACCAATCTGAACTTTTGAGGAGTTACCAGAAGGAGGAGGAAGTTTCTGGGGTGCTGATATGTGCTTCTTCTTGAGCTGAGTGCAGATTTTACGGATGAGTTTATTTTGCAGAAGTTCATTGAACTCTTTAATTATTATAGGTATGCTTTTCTTAAATTTATTAATACTTTGATGAAAATTTAAAAACTTTAAAATTAGGCTTGGTACTCACCATCTCTTGAGACCCATCAGTATTCTCTTTCCAATTGTACTGTCATTTCCATGGATTTCATTGGTTCTAAGCCCATTGCTCATTTTTTTTTCAATCATTGCTGCTTAACCATTACTTAAAATATTTTTGCTTACATCTGAATTGTAAACTTCTGGAGAACAGAGAATTTCTGTTTTACATCTTTTCCCCCCTCTCAGTGCCTAAAGCATTGTTGTGTGTCAGCAGTTGTTAGACTGTTAAATCTCTTATATCTTCTCCAACTTTACTGTCCTTTACATATTTTCACACTTAGCCCAGAACATCCTTTGGCTCCTCCAATATTTTCTCATTTATAAGGCATTTGCATACTGAGTAGAATATACTTTCTGTAAATCATAGGTCTATATCTGTCCTACTTTGTGATAGCACATAAAATCTTAGGGAATTTAAAAATCTAAAAATGTTAAAACCCAGAGACCATAAAGGAAAAAATTGATAGATTTGACTAAATAAACATTTTAAATGTTATGTACTGAAAGATAAAGTTAGGTAAGTGACAGACTTGTGGGAGATTGTGGCAATATGTATAATAGATAAAATATTAACATCCAGACTGAGGAATTCTTAAAGATTGAGAAGACAATGGCCTTATTAGAAATCAGGGAGATGCAGTAGAAACAATGATGTTGCATTATTTTTTACCGAACACATCAATTTAGCAAAAAGTTTAAAAGGTGGCTAAAATCTGGAGGAATCACTTAAATATTCTTTTGATGGAAGTGAAAATTATTACAACCTTTTGAATGGCATTTTAGCAGTATAATTTTTTACCCTGACATATTCTCATGTGTGTTGTAGTGTGTAGAATAATGGCCCCAAAAAGACATGCCCACCCAGAACCTCAGAATATTACCTTATTTGGAAAAGGGATCTTTGCAGATGTAGTTATAAGGATCTTGAGATCAATGGCTGGTGTCCTTATAAGAGAAAGGAGAAGGAGATTTGAGGCACAGAGGAGAAGGGCATATGAAATACAGAGGCAGAGATTAGAGTGATAACATGCTAAGGAAAGCCAGAATTACCCACAGAGACTAGAAGCTAAGATAGAGTAAAATGAATTCTGCCTCAGACCTACAAAAGGAACCAGCTCTGCCAACACCTTGCTTTTAGACCTCTAGACTCCAGACTATAAGAGAATAAATTTCTGTTTAAAGCCATCAGATTTGTGATAATTTGTTTCTAGCCTTAGGAAGCTAATACATGTGCACAAAAACATATGTCGAAGAATGTTTTGGCATTGTTTATTACAATAACAAATTAAAGAAAAATAAATGTTCAAAAGTGAAACCATTAAATAGACTATGGTCTAGTAGAGAGTACTATACAGTAGTGAAGTGATCGAGGTAGATATGTATATGTACTGACATGAAATTATTCATATATATGGTTAAATGATAAATACCAACATGTACAGAGGTGTTTTGGTTTAATAATTTATGAATATAAATGTATAGGAAAACTCTGAAAGTATACATAGAAAATCTTCGTGGAGGGGGAAGTAGATGGGAACAGAGGTAGGGCATGCAGGATGAGATACTTTAATTTTATTCTATGTATCTGCATTGTTTGAATGTTTACAATAAATGTTTCTGAATTCAAAAATTCAAGTTAGAAAAAGTCTTAGCTTAACCTCTTCAAAACAACAAAAATAAACAAAAACTAAAACATATGGTTATATATAACTATTGATATTTCGCTAGTGGCAGGGATAATGCTGTACATTATTTAATATTTTATAATTTTCAAAAGCACTGTCAAATACATCATGAAATTTGTTCTTCCCCTCATCTCCCTTCCCCCGAAGAGGTAAATGAGAGGCAGAGTGATTAAGAGACCTGCCCCAAGGCCATGTAAGTAGTATAGCCAGACTGAACTCTTTGGCTTCTGACTCCATGTACTAGTGCTGCTTTACTAGTTGAAGTGTATAAGTCCCTACTGGAGACTGTCATGTATGGCACTTAAGTCAGTGTGAATATTTAATCAAAATTAACCCTGGCATTCCACTTAACTGCACAGTTGTAAAGACCATAGTGGTATCCTAGTAATAAGTGTGTGGTCAGACCACTCATTGTGGAGTATTGGAGCCCTTCTCATCAACCTGAAGAAGAATTTAGGAAACAAGAGATCAAGCTGGGAATTGTGTGTTCCTTTCTCTGATTAAGGGCACAACCGGAGAGTTTTAGAGCTAGAATAGAAGGAGGAATATTATAGTCCAGAATTTTGCAAATGAGCACATTAAGGTCTAGAGAGATTAATTATTTGTCCCTAATAATATAGCTAGTTAATACTAGATACAATATTAGAATGCAGTTTGTGTTTTCTAGTCCTTTGATCTTTCTGTTACTGGATATTTCCAGTACTGGCTCATTGTAATAGGTGTTCAGTTAATCAGGTATAAATAGATCTTATAAACTATTAAGATTAAGTGTTTGAGAATGTAGAAAAGATGGTTTACTATTTAAAGGTAAAATGTTTAATGAATTTTTTTTAGTAGATTTTTCAGTCAGTTGCCTTTTTTAAATAATATGCTTAAAATGTAAGTATAGTTTTATGTGGCTAAATCGAGGATGTTGCAGATTTAAAATATTGTAGAGCACCTGTTTTGGAAGCATTGTAGATCGAGAATTTTTTTTTAAAGATCTCACAGCGGCTGGCTAATGTCCTCAACTGTCCCTAGTCATAGGTCTGGTGAAACATTGTTAAATCTCTAATCTCCACAAAAGAAACTGTTCTACTTGCCTTTTTTTTTTAAATTAGTCTAGGTGCAGTTCTAAAACTAATCTGTGACATTTAGAAAATAGATTTAAAAAAATAGATTTTTGAGCTTAATTCTTTTTCAAAGAATCTAAATGCACATGCACTATACAACGCTTGACATATAGTTGGTGTTTATTATGAGCTTAAAGTAAAACTAGTTTTAAAGTGACATATGACCCAATTAACCCAATTAATAGGAGTTAGCTTTATGACTTAATAATTGTCTCCCATATGCAGACATGCAAATAAAGGGATTTTTTTCTAAAAGTCGATAGCTAAACACATATTTTCTAATAACACTTCTCTCTACATACTCATGCATAAACACATATACCTATTACACCCATACACACATTCCCATTTTTGTTGCTTCTCCTTCCCATCTACCTAGTTTCTCTTTTCTGAAGTAATCTGACTTTTTATGATATATTGCTATCTAAATACTTCCCTGTGACAAGATAAACTAGCAAGCTTGAGCTTATGACTCTATCATGGTTGAGGATGCCTTCACCAAATCAGGTTCTTTATTCTGACTGTATCACACAGGGATTGCTTTCTTTTTAAAATTATATGATTGACTAGGCTCCACTCTCAGGGTTTTGATGTGGGCCTGGGTTAGGACCCAAGAGGCATCTATCCGCATTTCTTTCAAGCTATGCAATTGATTATTGGGCAGCCAGACCACTTTCAGTTTGATTTGCTACTACTGAATAGGAACACTAGATGGCGCTAATAACCTCCAAAGGAGTCGAAACTGTACCCTGAGAATCATCTTTCACCATGGTAGTCATAAAGTCAAACTAGTTTATCTTGTTACATGGAAGTAGTTTAAATAGCAATATACCATAAAAAGCCAGATTACTTCAGAAAAGTGAAATTGGTTAGATGGGAAGGAGAAGCAACAAAAATGGGAATATGTATGGATGTAATATGTATTATGTGTTCATGCATGAGTATGTAGAGGGATGTGTTATTAGAGAATATAATGTATTTAGCTAGCAGCTATTAGGAAAAACTGCCTCTTTATTTGCATGCCTGCACATGAAAGACAATTATGAAGTTGCAAAGCTAACTCCTGGTAATGATTAGGTCATGCCTCACTTTAAGACTTAAAGTTTTACTATTAAGCTCATAATAAACACTAACTATATGTCAAACATTAAAAGACAGTACATTTAGATTCTTTAAAAAAATAATCTAACAAAACATTATAAACCTGTAGAATATAAAACTTTAATGAGAGTTTTAGAAGAGTTATTTATTCTAAATTTTCACCATTATAAACTGAAGCCACAGTTTCTGTGCATATGACCTCACATTTGGAGTTACTGGAGTAGGTCCACGGATGTATCATTACTGGGTCAAAGGGTATGAGCATTTTTATGGCTCCTTACATATTGGCATGTCTTAAATGGCTTACCAATTTAAGTCTTTAGCAAGGATAAGAGAACCATGTTCATTAAAGTTACTATCACCATTAGATGGTATCTTTATTTTTGTTGTCGATAAGGGAAGAAGGTTTGTGGAGAGTTTTAAATTTAGTAGATAGTTTCCTAAATTCTTTAAAGAGTTAATGTCTAAGCTACTATTCTAAATATTTCAGGGGATATAAAACTGAGTAAAGTACAGTACCGGATTTGGAGAATAGAAGAGTGAAAAACAGTTATTATGAATTAGTCATGTACTAGTCATAAGAGATATGAAGCCAGTTCCTCACATCAAAGCCTATTTTTAAGTCAGCTTGATTATTAGCAGTGCATGTACAGTCTATTGATGCTGCATTCCTATCTTATTCATCTATCATGCAGATTTTCTAATAGCTATCAAACCATAATTTTTTTCTTATTGTAGTTATGACCTGTTTTTATTTTACATGTTTAACTTTCTCTTTATTGAAATATCATTGACATAAGTTTAAGGTATACAACATGATGATTTGATACATGTATATGTTGCAAAATGATTACCATAATAATGTTAGTTACACCACTATCCCCTCATATAATTACCTTTCTTTGTGTCTCTGTGGTAATAACATTTAAGATCTACTCTCTTAAAGATTTTCAAGTTTACAATACAGTATTGTTAACTGTAGTCACCATGCTGTACATTAGATCCCCAGAACTTATTCATCTTACAAGTGTATACCTCTCAGCCAACATCTCCCCACTTCTCCCATCTCCTCCTTTCCTGCCTCTGAAAACCACTATTCTATTTCTTTAATTTTAGCTTTTATAGATTTTATTTATAAATGAGAACATACAGTATTTGTCTTTCTCTCTCTGACTTATTTCACTTAGCATAATGCCATCAAGGCCCATTCATATTGTAGCAAAAAGCAGGATTTCCTTCTTTTTGATGGCTGAATAACCTTCCTCTGTGTGTGTGTGTGTATGTGTGTGTGTGTGTGTGTGTGTGTGTGTGTGTGTGTGTGTGTGTGTATCTCACATTTTCTGTATTCATCTATTAATGGTTACTTAGGTTTTGTTTTCATGTCTTGGTTATTGTGAATAATGCTGCAGTGAACGTGGGAATACAGATATCTCTTTCAGATAGTGCTGACATTTTCTTCAAATAAATAAATACCCAGGAGTGGGGTTGCTGGGTCATATGGTAGTTCTATTTTTAATTTTTTAAAGAATCTCTGTACTGTTTTCCATAGTGGCTATACCACTTTACATTTTTACCAAGAGTGCACAGAAGTTCCTTTTTCATGGAGATAACTATATTCTCTCTTTCTTTGGTTCCCAGTTATAGTCCATTAATATTGTGAAAAGTGAAAGCTTTTAGATAGGAAAAAAATTTGTGTGAGTAAACATATTTTGAATGAGTAGAGACTAAGTTCTAACTTGTAATGTTCTTTGTACTTCAAAGTGAAGTACATTATTGGACTCAGAATTAAGGTCTGTCTAATACTGAATTACAAAGTACATATACTTTCTGTGACTTTAGAGCAGTTTATATACCTTTAGCTTGCTCCCTTGTAAAGAAGCAACAGTTAAAGTAAAAAAACAGTGGATGGCAAATTAGGATTCTAGATCCTTTTGTGTTACCAACCAGCTGTTACCTTGAATATGTCGCTCAACCTTTGGGCTTCTGCTTTCTGTTCTGTAGAATGAGGGGTTGAATATGTTGATCACATGAAAAATCGTCTGTCCAATGGGAAAAGTATGAAAGCATTTTGTATACAGCGAGGTGGGTTGTAAAAAGATACATGGTAGAAAATCATTATTTTGTCTCTGACTGGTTTGGAAGTTAAATGAGATTTCCATAAAGAGCCTAGAACAGACCTGTTATGTAGTAAGCATTCACCATTAGCTAGTGTGAAAATGGAGACAGTAGCAAAGCTTTGGTACTAAAATACTCTGTTTCTGAAAGATTGTGTAATTTAACTGCTTTAGCATCTGTAAAAAAAATAAGGTATACTTTAAGTAAGTATGTTTTTATTTTCTAGGATCAAATCTAAATCGCTGTGGTTTCCGTGGCTCTTCATACTTGGGTATTCCCTTCAACCCATCAAAGGTTAGTTTTGTTTGGGTCAGGAGGAAGGAAAGTGAGGTGAGGAGATTTTAGTGAGAAAGAAAACTAAGAAAGGATACAGAAAGAACCAGGCTTCCAAGATTCAATAGCTAAATACTGTATAATAATGTATATTATGAACCCTTTAAGAGAAAGTTATGCAAACCTTACTTCCAGGAAGAATACACAATACGTATACACCCAGAAACTCCTGTTACAAAAATAATGTCTCACTGTTGTGTGTGTACAAATTATCGGTGATTTCCTGGAGAAACTGGAAGTAAAGCACTCATATACTTGATACTTGGCTCTGTTAGTAGCCAGTGAACTTGTATGTGTTAGAGGAGGTCTTTGCATTTGGTTCTCATAGGAATAAAGGAAAAACTCTTGCCAAAGCAGTGATTGAAGACCAGAGTAGGGATGAATTTGGTGACCTTTGCGGCAATAGGCAAAATATCTTCAGGGTTATAGCTGGAGGCGTTGGTACCAGCACTTGCAGGTATAGAAAGCAGTGAGTCCTATCAAAGTGAAGAGTGTTTTCCTTCTTCAAGGAAGCATACCCAGAACAAGTTTTGTAGATGTTTCATCTGTGCACAAAATGCTAGTAGTATTCTACAGTAGAAAGCATAGAATACGTCATTTTGTTGAAAGAGGGCTCATAAAATAGAAACTTCTTCATGACAAGGTCAACCTGCTTGTATATGATTACAAGCCAGTACGTGGCTGTATATCAAGATTTATATACAATTGCAATCTGAAGATAAATGGCATGTTGCCAGTTTTTCCATACTCTGCTTCAAAATTTTGGAATAGCGATTTTGGAGAAGGTGACATGATTTGATAGAGGCACTTCTTCAACTTTCTTCCTCTGCCTCAAGTTGTAGACCAAGTTGCCTATGTCACAGTCATGAATTTGGCACGGTGTCTCCAATGTGTGCCCATTGCTTTTAGTAGGGAAATCTAAAAACAAAGGATTCGTAAAATATGGCTATATATACGTATATATAATTGAAATTTGTTTTTCTCAATTCTATATTATACCAATCAGTATGAACAACATTTAATTGCAGTATTTACTGACCTCATGTCAAATTAATGAAATAAGTTTTCATTTCATTTTACTAATTGACATTAATTTTTAATTCAGAATCCTGGAACAGCTCATCCTTATGATAGTGGCCACATAGCGATGACCTACACTGGCCTTTCATGCTTGGTTATTCTTGGAGATGACCTAAGCCGCGTAAATAAAGAAGCTTGCTTAGCAGGCTTGAGAGCCCTTCAGCTGGAAGATGGAAGGTATGGGACATTCTTTTTTACTTTTTTTTGTGTGTGTTTTAAGAAAAATCTTTTGGAACTAAAAAAATGGATACTGGAACTTTAAAGTTTATCATAAACTCTTACTAGTCTGAATTTGTGACAGTGATGGGGAGAAAAGGATGAACATTGTAGGTAGTTTTCTCGACATTTTGAAAGGATAAAAAAAAGTTAATGAATTCATTAATATTTGATGGCTCTTGTGGTGTGTCTAACCAAAGAAGAATCTTCTTGGAATTTTAAGGTGAAACCTTTTTAAGTCTAGGAAGTGATAAAGCAGTAATAATACTGTCTAAAGAAAAGACTTCGCAAACAAACCCTGCTGTGTTGTTACTTCAGTGTTCCATCTACCAATATTTCTGTTTCCTGTCAGTATTTTTAAAACACTGTTCTTGATGAGGGGAAAATTAATGTCATCATATAAAATAAATTGACATTAATTGCAAATACTATAAGACTCAGTATTTACCTCAGCAAGTACACGTGACTAATTTCTCAGTACTTCAGTGCAGTCTTTGTTTACCGCTACCTTATCCTTATTTATCAATAAAGGAATAGATGAAAGACACAGACTATTATCGCTATAAAACTAAGTAAATAGGTAAAAATTAAAACAATATGATCAATTAATTAATAGTTATATACACACACACACACACACACACACACACACACACACACACACAGTTAGGAGAAATTTCACGTAGCAAAACTTGGGCTTGGGAATTTCTTAATACCCAATAGGTCCCAGGTTTTACCTGCTACTTTTTTTGCCATTCATTCTCAAGCCAGTGTGCCACAGCTGCCCCTGGAGGAGAGCAAACAAACTTACTCTGAGTGGTAGCATGTAAAGCTATCCAGAAATTAGAACTTTGGAGAAGAATAATATTTAGAGATAGTTTTATATTATTCAAGTTAATAGCCCTCTTTTTTATGGAATAATAAAAGTAGTATATGCTTGTTAAATCCATATTTAGATTTTTAAATCCATGTTCATAATAGATTTTTTTGTGAGTAAAGACATGAAATAGGTGTTTCTAACCCTCCTCCCCCTGCAAAAAAAAATAATAAATTATAGTACAGTGTTAATAGTGTCATGTTGTTATTTTCAGTTTTTGCGCGGTACCTGAAGGCAGTGAAAATGACATGCGATTTGTATACTGTGCTTCCTGTATTTGCTACATGCTAAACAACTGGTCTGGTATGGATACGAAAAAAGCCATCAACTACATTAGAAGTAGTATGGTAAGTTATGTTGATAAATTGTTTGTTTTAGGTTACTATTGCTGGTATATCAGGGCTACAGTATAATTCATGCTTCAACTTTTTCAGCAAAAATTTGGAAATAAGGCCAATAAGATTGCTTTCTAGGTATGTCATGTATCAGAACAGCCACATAAAAATAATCTTCAAGGACAGGTTGACTCCTTGACTGTTAAAATTTAAATGTAATCTTACTATATCTAAAGAAACAATGTCTTTTCCAGAAAAGATTGGTTTACCGTAGAAGCATCTTAAAAGCAAATGTTGATAGTCTATTCTAGCAGGGATCCTGGCCAATCATAATGAAAAATTATGGCATCCTTGGAGAGATTATTCCTATATTGCATGTGAAGTGTCAGTTCCTTAAGCCATTTTGACTAGCAAGACCCAAATGTAACAAGATTGTCTAGGCTGACAATAGATTTTTGGATCTACTCTGGTTTCTCAATATACATATTTTTTCAATCTAAGATTTATTTTAAGGAGACTATCAGGTAGATATGTTATTCCTTCACACAATACAATTTAATCTTTTTTGGCAGCTGTAAGGAAGGAAGGCTTAGTCTCAGCCAGAATTAACTTTTGCTTTACATTTTAGTCTTTTACGTAAAACTAGAGAAGTGGAAGTGTTGCTTCTTAGGTTTATTACTTTCCAAATGAAGTTTTAAATTTTATAGATTATAATATTTTAGGTTGTTAATTCAGCTTTTACTAGTCAGTATTTCAAAATGAAAATGTAAGTTCTTAGAGAAAAAATATTATTTTTAACTCAATATACATGTGAATCAGAATTTGTAGAATCTACAATAGCATTAATTTTAAAAAGCCTGTGGGGGCAGAAAGAACAAACCTTTCAAGGAGTTTTTAGAGGAAAGGAAATTTATGTTACATACAAGGATGGGTGATGTGCATTTTGGCATGAATACGATAGAAGTGATACTGTGTTCATCTCAGTGCATTGTATTTGGAGGTAACAGATGTTGAGTTGCCGGATTGCTGGTGATGTTAACTGATCACTTTGTCAAGTTGTCGTATGCCAGATTTTTCATTGTAAAGTTTTGTGTTTTTCTCTTTGTAATTATTCAGTATCTCATTGTAAGATATTTGGAGAGTAAGTAACTATCCTGTCCATCAAACTTTTATCCATTAGTGTTAGTATACATTGATGATTTTCTAGCCCTATAATTCCTCCTATAACTATCGATTGAAATTCTACCGTTAGAAAAAGCTTTCCCTTTGCCGCCATCAATCTGTTTCACTATGGACACTAGATTCTTGTTTTATTCAAGGTTATTGTCTGTTACTATCATTTTGTATTTTGATACTCAGATTATCCCAGGTGGTCAGTGAGAACCCCTTCAAGAAGGCTTTTGTGCCCTTTTGACATATCCTCTTCATTCTTTGAGCATCTCCTTGCTTTTTGCCATAAGATATTTCTGGGTGCATCTTTTACTTTCCCAGCCTCAGCTCTGGAATCAGTCATTTGTTAAAGGAGCCCTATTCTTATTGGAGGGTGGTGTTTAGAAACCAGGATTTGGACACTGGATGTGCCCATTGATGTTGGGATATCGTTGCTTATAGCCCCTCTCTCAGCAGACAGAGCTAAGAAATGTATATATCTATGCATGTACACACAGACACCCGTCCCCCCAAACACTTAATACATCTATGTCTATTTCTGTGTCTGTCTATCTAGATATTAAAAACTATGAGTCCATACTAATACCTCAAATTTCAGTCCAACATCACAAGATTCATTTTAACCTTCCTCTTTTCATTTATAACTCCATTCTCTAACAGTGACAAATGTCGCTCCATTACCTAGAGTAATTCTTTTTGTTTAGAGCTTGAGGATATATATTCAAAATATTATATTTAAATACTTGGTTTACTTTTATTTTACCTACTTTAGTCTGTTTACTATTTATTTGAAATACAACCAAATTTGTTTGTTTGGATTCCATTTTAGGATTCCCCCATGCACACACTTTATTGATTTTAATATATTTAATATGGGGAATATTAACCTGGTTCTGAAAGTCACAACTGTACCAAAAGGTATATTCAGAGATGTGCAACTGACAACGGCCTCCTGTCCTTTTTACCACCCTCCTTCCTAACCACATATTTACCACCTTATTCCTGTTCATTGTATGGGTAACCATTCTCATTAGTGTTTGGTTTGTCTTCTTTTTGATAAGCAGATATGTATATTTTTATTTCCCCTTCATTTTTTTTTTTTTACTCAAAAGATAGCATACCATAAATACTTTTTTCAGTTAATAATATAGCTTGAAAATTCTTCCATATCAAGTCATAGAGGTTTTCCTCTTTTTTTTTTATGTAATAGTATTTCATTGTGTACAAGTGCCATAGTTTTTTCAACTTTTTAATGTATAGAATACATATTTTCCAAATACAGTGTTGAAATGAACAGCCTTCTGCATACATGTTGACATATTTTTTGAGATATATCTTCATATAATTCCTAGTAGTGGAATTGCTTGATCAAAAGATAAGTGCATATTTAATATTATTAAATATTGCCCATTTTCTCTCCAAAAAGTATAGGCCAGTTTATATTTTCACCAGTACATGAGAATGCCTATTTCCACACAGCCTTGCCAATGGAGTGTGTTGTTGTACTTTGGTTTTTACAATCTGTTGGGTAAAAAGTGATATCTTAGTGTATTTTTAATTTGCATTTATTTTACTTTGAGTAAGACTAACCATTTTCTTAACTCCAGGACAGTATAACACCAAGAGACAGGCCAGTTTTAGCCTGCCATCCCTGCTTTGCTGACACCTACTTCAAGTCCATTATTTTGCTTTTTTCTTTATCCAGTTTTGTGTATGTTCTTTTTGCTTATCTTTCATTTCAACCACTTTCTGACTTTTTTTACTACTTTGTCTCATTATTATTCTCTTGCGGTTTCAGCTTTTCTTTAATGTCCCTAATTATCTTTTCATTTGAAACTGTTACTGTTTAGGCATCTTCAGTCTTCATTTCTCAGTTTATTTTGTCTTTTTCTTCCCTTTCTTTTTTGAAACCGTTTAACTTTATTTCTTCGTACTATTTATCCTTTTCTGTTTTTCATTTTTAATTTCCTTTTTGTATTTCCAAATGCTTGTTTGAGGATATGTAATTGAGTTTGGGGTGCTGTATTACAGTTTTCTTCTGCTTTATCACTGTTTTTGGAAGTGGAGGAAGATTTTCATATACTAAGATGTTTTCAGTCTGATTGCTGTGTTTTCATCTGTTACTTTGTATACATTGTCCTTTTCTGTTTAGTTATTTAGTGTATTATTTTTCTTACAAGAATTCCTAGTTTGAGTACCTTCTTTTCAATGCAAAGAAAACAAAGTTTTGTTTCTTTAATGAATGTGGCGGGGTAGTGTTTAGTGATGGAGTAAGGGTTTTGAGTTCTGTGTTTTTTCTTATGAGAGGTTTTCTTTTGTTTCCCAGTTATCTAAATTTTGCTCTTTTGAGTTTTCCTTTATTACCTGATCTTCAAAGAGCCTTTCTCTTTTTTTAACTGTCTTCACCAGAGTTATGCCCTTTGCATACTACCGCTTTGACTTGTAAATTCTTAAGATCCTTCCTTATAGTCAGTACTCAGTTTTAGCAGAACTGTTCAGTTCAGGCAGTGCTCGCTTTGCATGGTATTGCCAGAGTATAATGATGACCGTCCAAGCTGAAATGATGCAAAGTGATCTTAATCATCATTGGGAAACATTGCTATTGTTCTATGACCTTTACAATTTTTTGCCAAAACATTAAAATCTCTTTTACTATCAGTTATAAATGTACAGAGAATTTTTAATGGTAAAACCAATATTTATTTAGTACACTGTCATTTAAAATATTAGCAGTATTGAGAATTAAAGTGTTTTCTTTGTAAAAAATTATCGAGTCATTTGAATAGTGCCTTGCTTCTTCTCATTATATAACTTACAATATGGAGCAAGCATCTTTCCTGTCTTGATAAATGATCATACTTCTTTCAGTATTTGTATCAGCTTCCAATATTTTATCCTTCGCATCTTCATTGTTGTACAGTATCTCTGAGAGTTCCTTTTATGTGGTTTTTTCCAGCATCACTTCTCTAGAATACCTTCATTCTTTTCATCACAACTACTTTCCTCATCCATGTAGATATTTGCCTTCACTTAGTTCTTCTGACTGCTTATATAGTCTCAAATAGCAGCACTGTCAGCCTTCCCATGATCAGCTGTTTCTTCTACAACTCCGTTTGAACTCGGTTTCACTTCCACTATTACTGCTTTTCATTTCCTTACTTCTCTTTCATCTTTGGTGGCCACTCTCATAACCTCTTTTGGTTATGCCTTTGTAAATCATCATGTGGATTTATCACTAAGAGTCAACACAACCACACACTTTGCTTTCTCTGCGTGAACTGAATAAAATGTGCAGTGACAATTCACTAACAGACTTTGAAAAGGATGATGCGATTAGTCATTTGTCTTGATGCAGTGATTTGTGGACTGAGAGGCCAAAAGTAAGTTTGTATGTTATGCAATTGCTCATAGTTAATATATTGTGGTTACTGAAATTTGAACCATGTTGTGTTATTTAAGCCATGGCACTTGGAATATGTACATATTGGAACTGTGCAAAGCAAGAACTGCCTATATTTCACACTTGGGGTAGACTCAATCTCAGATCTGCCATTAGCGCCCCACCTCTCTCTTCCTCACGATTTTTCAGATTGTCCTTGCTCTCTGCAAAAGTGTGTCAGGAGTGTGAGAGACAGCTTGCTGGGATTTGATGTTTCTTTTTCTATAGACAGGTAATTTGAAGCTTGAGCATGTCTTCCAGCTTTGCTTAGGTTTCATTTTTCTGTCGTTGTATTGTTCTTATTCTATTTTGATTTTGTAGAAATGTGGGGAGATTCCTGTTTAGGTAGACACCATTATCCTCACTACCCAAAAGCCTCAAAATAGATTTGTTTCGTGTTTATAATGTTTTATAAGTATGAAATCCTTATATTTTCCTTAAATTCATACATTCTTGCAAGTGGGAAGGGAATAAGGGTTGGGCCTTTTTATCGAGTAGAAATTGAATAGGTGCCATCTTTGAACAGTCTGTTCTCAGAATGTGCCTGATGTTTGCATTTAGTAATTTGATGTGAGTAAGACAAAGATCAGGTACTTGAAAATGCTTACATCTGCTTCTTTGTGAGAAAGAGTGAATAATTTGGAAGATATAAAGGAGAAATAAAATTAGATCAAGAGACCAAAAATTAGCATAATGACAACTTATTATTTCCTTGTTAAACTGAATCATGTTTTTCTTTTTCAGTCTTATGACAATGGGTTGGCACAGGGAGCTGGACTTGAATCTCATGGTAAGGCATCTTAAAATAAATGAACATGTAATTTCTTTTGTTTCTTTAAATAACATCATGATATCTTTAACATGGAGTACTTCAGAAGTTTATCTCGATCCTTGGTGCAGCCTGGTAATCTTCTTTCTTATTTCTGTCTTTTGACACCATTGTGCTAATTTGAACCTCTTCTGTGTCAGTAATCATTTATAGATTATTCAGACCAGAATGTTTATATAATATTTTCTAATAATCTTTTCAAGTATTAACTGCATGAAGATATCTCAGAATAATTTCTTAAGACAATTTTGGAAAACAACAGGTTTTCTTCTTTGGCTTAACACTAAAAGGCTAGATGCAGAATATTAAATGTGAAAATTTTTTTATTTATCTTCCTTAATATAATTATCCTAAGTCATGGTCTCATAAAATATTTTGCTGCATAGCATTTGTTCACTATATACAAGTGTATATATGTTCAGTCTTTTCACATTTTCCCCACTTTTGGCAGAACCAGAATAGAGAGATAATAGTCACTTAGTTTGTCAGCACATCAGTAGCCTTATTAACTCTTTCAAATTGAATAGTTCCATGTAGAAGTAAATAAGCTTCCAAGTTCCTCTTTTAGAAAGAAAGAGGCCCAAACCAAGGATCCTCTCTGAGTAGACTCCTCTTCATCACAGCAGGGGTTTTTGTTTGTTTTTGTGCTCACCTGTTGTGTCCATCCTTATGCTAGTGATAGAGTGGAAAGAACAGAACAGATCAATATTCAGGTTTTATCCCTGATACCAGCTGTGTGACCTTGGCTCCTCACTTAATCTCTCAGGGTTTCCTCACCAACAGAGTAGAAATAATTATATCTCTTTTTTTTTGAGATTGTTGTTAGGATTATAAGAGCTGTGGGGTAAAGTGGTTTCTAATCTATAAAACATGTATAAAAAGATATTTTAACATATTTCTCTACCCCATATCCTTATATTTCCCCTGGAACCTTGTCCTGTAAGGTATCTCCTCCCTCACATCTTTACTCCTTCCTTCAGTGTAGGTATTTGTAAAGTATGTGTCACTAAGGCATATATAGAAGACAGTCTTTGACTTCTGAGGCCATACTGTAATTAGGACACCATAATTCTTGTGTCTGCCTGAGTCTATATGAGATTGGGGGTGGGGCAAGCTGGCAATAGCAGTTATGTCACTGGTCATCACTACTTGGTAACAAAGGATATACTCGTAGTTGCACAAATAGAAAATCTGGCATTTGTAAGGATTTCTGAGAAGACAGGGTCTATTACTCGCTGTTGTAAAGGGTGTTAATGGGCACTCTGGCTGAGGTGACACCTCACCAGTATAGGAGACCTGTGGGACAGACAGTGTTGTTCCCAAGAAGTTGGGATTACGTTCTCTGGGATGTGAAACAGAGAGGGCTGCTCAAACATGATATTCTCTGAGGGATCCTGTTAGGAAAAAAGTCTTGCTGAGTCATGTAGATAATGATTTTGAGTCAGTATGACTTGAGTAGGATTGTACCCATCAAGAGCATCAGTGATAGACTGCGATTCCTGCCAAGCTTACATCCTCCTTTCATCTCTAATTTGGCTTGGTAGGTTTAAGGCCTAAGCCTTAAAAGAGGGCTTCCTAATCAGTGTCACAGTATATTGTTGTACTACAAATGGGTTCTAAGTGTGCTAAGCTATTGCTCCCTCAGCCTTTGTGGCAGCCAAGTGAGACTTGTGTATCTGGAGCCCCTGCTAAGGTGGCCTCTGGCCAGGAGCATCCCCCTGAGGGCACCCCAGTATGCTCTAAGAATATCAGATGTTCTTTGTGTGCTGTAAGGTTAGATATGCTGAGAAGTACTACTCTGGAGGACTTTGGTATAGCCTTCCTTCCCTGTCTTATTTTATCACTATCTACACTGGCAAGTAAAACCTTTTCTTAAAAAGCCCTTCAGTTTTGCTACCCTGTGAAGTCATTGTGTTCTCCCTTTTTCTTCTTTCTATTGTTAATCTTTTTAGAATAGTGGTCCAAATATACTATTTGCCCTTTTACACGGATGGGTTGTTCTTTAATTTTCTTTGTAAGCCTTTAGCAATTTAGGAAGTTACTCAAGTCATGAATGATCTGTAATTCAAATCCAAGGTCTTTCATTCCTCATCATCTGTTTATTGAAGCATTTAAAGCTGTTAACTTCTCCCCCTTCTTTCTTGAAACAGCACATTCCTCTTGTCCTGCTTCCTGACAAGTTGTTTCTGTCTCCTTCATCATTTGTGTTTTTTCCTCTGACCTCTTTACCTCAGCCCAACTTTATTCTTTACTGGGAATAGTTCATCTTTCTAAATCTCAGGGCTTTTCTACTTGCTGTTCTTTGTATAGAATCTTTCACCGCTAATCCTAGCATACCTGTTTTT